GAATGAAAAATAGGCTTGAAAATCTCAAACTTGAGGTTTGATGTTTTCTCTTTGATTCTCTCTTGATTCTAGTTGCTTGATGTTTCTTGTTTTTTTATCAATGGCTTCTAAGCTTGATTAAATACACCTTGAATCACTTCTGAACGTTGGGGATCATTAATGAAGATAATATAGCCGTTTTAGTGTGAAATCAATTAATAAAACAGCTTGGAGCGTGGGGGGAATCGGTACCCCATAGGGGGAATCGGTTCCCTAAGTGTAAAATTCAAATATTTCGACCGTTGAACAGTGGGGGGAATCGGTACCCCCTGGGGGGAATCGGTTCCCTCCGAGCATACTGGAATTCTCGGAGCCAAACCATTCAGGGGGGAATCGGTACCCCTTGGGGGGAATCGGTTCCCTCTGAGCAATCTGGAATTTTTGGCTTTGAAATGGTTCGAAATATTTTGTAAAATCGTTTTGAAATTATTTTAAGATTAAAACTTAATTTTACACTTGATTAAAGATTAAAAATGACATTTGAAAGATTTGGAGTAATATTTTGATATTCGTATAATTATATCGAATATACTTAGAAAATCTTTTTGGAAAATCTTAAAATTCATTTAACTTAATTTGTTATATCGAAATATCAAAATGTTTTCAACACAAATCCAGGATGCTCTATTCGTTGCTATAAGTTCAATCTGAATCGCTCTTGGGTCTACATTACACTTGCTACACACTAATCTTTTCCACCAAGGGTCCTTCTCCGTCGTAAATTTCTAAGCCCATTTCCCAAGGAGTATTTTATTCAGTAAATTCATATTTGAAATACCAAGGCCTCCTAAATGTTTAGAAAGACACACAGTTGACCATTTAACCCAATGAATCTTCTTCTTCTCTTCTGGCTCTCAATACAAAAACTTGGCCATGATCAAATTTAGCTTCTTCAAGTCTTGAAGACCTGAGCTGAAATTCTGAAAATTGACAGATAATAAATGGGCAATGAGCTAGGCATTGCTTTCACTAGCACCACTCTCCCATCTAGAGACAAGGAAGTCGCTTTCCACCCTGCTAATTTTTTGTAGAATCTTTGAACTATCGGCTCCTATAGCACATTTAAATTCTTCCTCGCACCGAGAGGCAGACCCATATACTCAATTGGGAACTCCCCCGTAGAACACCCAAATTCGTCTGCCCATTCCTTCATAACAAACTCTTCCGTGTTAATTCCAACAATACTGTTTTCCCCAAATTCAACTGCAGCCCCAACATTAACTCAAAAATGCGAAGCACTCTACTAACAATCTTCAGCTGACCCAAAGAGGCATTGTAGAAGATTAGCATATCATCTGCAAACTCTAGATGTGATAACATGAAATAATTCCCTACCTTCACGATTTCAAATCCGCGAAAAAGCCCCAATTTTACTGCCTTAGACATCATCAAATTTAGCACTTCCCCGACCATATTAAATAACAATAGGGACAATAAACACCCTTGTCGAAGCCCTCTATAAATCCTAAACTCTTCCGTCGGAGATCCGTTGACTAAAATAGAGAAAGAGGCCGTCGAAGTGCACTTCAATATCCATGAGCACCACCTCATACCAAATTACATCTTCTTCATAATCTTTAACAACATCCCCCAATTGACACAATCATAGCCCTCTTGAAATCTACTTTAAACGCCACTCCTTTAAGTTTTTTCCTCCTCCAGTGGTCTATACCTTCATTTGCCAAGAAAGAATAATACATAATATGTCGACCCGGGATGAAAACAAACTGCGATGACCCTACTACATCATTGATACACCCTCTTAACCTCCTAGAGAGCACCTTTGATAACATTTTATAAAGAGCCCCCACAAGGCTTATCAGCTTGTAATCGTCTAACCCCTCCAGATTCAACTTATTAGGAATGAGCGTAATAAAGGAATGATTTATTCCATTATCCCGGTTTTCCCCTATAAAAAATCGTTGAAGAATCTCATTATTTCGGGCTTTAATTTGGGCCAAAAATTCTAGAAGAAGCCCATACTTAAACTGTAAGGACCTGACACTTTACTACTATCTGTCTACGCAATAGCCTCCCAAACCCCCTCCTCCGAGAAGGGTCTTTCCAACAAGCTTCTCTGATCTTTCAAGATCCTAGCTAAATTTAAGTCAATTGACGCCACATCTAGGGTGTTCTTTTGATTGTAGGCAGCTTTGAAAAAATCTCAGATTGTGTTTTTTATCTACTTTGGTTCTGAAATCAAACTGCCATATTTTCTTAAGTACTTAATTGTGTTAATTCTCCCCCTATTCGCAACGCTTTGATAAAAATAATTCGAGTTCCTATCCCCGTCTTTAATCCATTTTACTCGAGATTTTTGAAACCAAATTTGCTCTTCCTTTCTGTACAGATCCCACAAATCCCTTCTTGCTTTAAGCATTTCTTCCCTTGAAGCCACCACAGTCCCCTGTTGTAAAGCCACCTCCATCTCATGCAACTTTTTTTCCAACTCTAGAATCGACCTCGTTTGCTTTGAATAATCATTGCTAGACCACCCCTTTATTGACTTTTTTATCTTTTTGAGAATGCCCATAACACCTTTTTTTCCCTTATCCCTATATGTGTATTCTCTATCTCTTTCTCCATCATTTCTTGAAACCCTTCCTCCTCGAGCAAATAATTGAAAAAATATAAAGGGCTTTGGACCCCAATCATACCCTCTATTCTCCAACATAATAGCACTATGATCATACAGCGATTTTGGGAGTAAGTGTTGCGATAGATTTAGAAAAACTGCAGTAAACTGACAGTCTAGAAGGAATCGATCCAATCTAATCTCTATAGAAGCTTCTCTATTATTACTCCACGTAAAGCGACTACCCAATAACGGTAAATCAATCAAATTTACCTGCATCATAAAATCGATGAACAACTGCATCGAATATCTATTCTGTGACACCCCAATTTTCTCCTCACGATTCAGAAACACATTAAAGCCCCCTATACAGAAAGGAACATATAGTTGCCCAATGAAAACCATAAGTTCCATAAGAAAGTCTTCTTTTTCGGACTCGACAGACGACCCATAAACAATTATAAAAAAACCTTGAACACCTGCTTCCTTATCTTCTCCCCGAATCGTAATAAACCTTCTATGGATATGTTGTTGCTTTAAAATAAATACATTCTCATCCCACAGGCTTATCAAATCCCCTAATGTACCAATCGAAGACACTACTACCACTCCCCGTAAATACTTCTCCCCAATCTTTCTCAATAATGTCGGCCTCATTGACTCCAATTTCGATTCCTGAATGAAAATAATAGTCAGCTTATTCTCACCAATCAATCTTCTCACTGCTCTACCCTTCTCCTTTCTGCCCAACCCCCTTACATTCCAAGAAATTATTACCAGCTCAAACATTAATTAAAGATACAATTACCTTCAAGCGAAGCGAGACTTAATTCCCATTCCTCCTCTTTCTCTCCTTATTCAACTTGACTACTTTATCAACAAACACCTTCTTCTTATCCCGAAAAGTTATACCCATCGTATTGTTTATTTTCCACGTATTTTCCGCTTCTTCCATATCGTCTGAACCTCTCGAAGATATCCAGGGACAGGTATTGTCCTTATCCGATGCCACTGACTGCCCATTCTTCGATATTCTGTTGTATAGAAAATCAGAAGAAACAAAAGTTTCTTTTCAGTCAAACAGATGAAAAATACTACTTCATGATTAAATTCTGTTATGAAATAAAATTTTGTATAATTTAATCTTTTATCTCATATTGAGTAGTTATTTTTGAGCAATTATATTATTATTTCTAACTACTATAGAATTTTTTTAATATGAAAAGTTAAGCACGTTTAATGTATTAAAAAATTAAGTTTATTTCTTAAAGTAAGTAAATAAAATTTTGTATAATTTAATCTTTTATCTCATATTGAGTAGTTATTTTTTGAGCGATTATATTATTATTTCAAGAATTTCACTAAATTAAAGAATATATTTAAACTTCATCGATAATTTTAAAGTGGGTTTAATTAAAAAAAATAAGTGTTTAAATTATATCGCTTTCTTAAATAAGTGTTTAAATATTTTTTAATTCATTCAAATGTCTAACATTATAAATATTACTTCAGGTACTCGGTTGTAACGTCCTTTAAAAAACTTTGATACGTGACATGTATCATATTATGTTATTTTTGATCATTTTTATTTTAAAAAAATAAAAAAAATATTATATTTAAAAAATAATTATAATTTCTCTCAAATTATAAAAAAACCTCAAATCTCTAAAATATTTAAATCTCTAACCCTAGCAGGATCCCGATTTGTAGCATTGGGTTCATTAGATACACATGTTGATTGACTCTTGTTCTGGTGATTTTTTATGGGGTTATGGGTCGTCGAGTAGGTGTGAGGTCAAGTGGAGATTCATTGACAGAAAAGGACGACGACCATAGTAAGTTATGAAGTTGAAATTATGGTTTAAAAGTTTTGGAATATTTTTAAAGTTTTTAAAAAAATTATTAATTTTAAACATAATAATATTTTAATTTTTTAATTTTAAATAAAAATTTTATAATTATAAGAACGTGACATGTGTCTTTTAGCGGTATGAGTCAAAGTATCTAAAGTGATAACATTTGTAATATTAGATATTTAGATGAATCTAAAAAAATTGAACACCTATCTAAAAAGACGGTATAATTTAGAGAGTTATTTTCTAATTAAACCTTTTAAAGTATTATCATTCTTTAATTTTTTTTCACAATATATTCTTAATTTTAATCACTGTCCAAAAATAATAAACGATCTTATGTTCGTAGGAAAAAAGTTTCTTTCTTTAGCCACTTGCAAAAATAAGTCACGGGCTCACGGCCGACCAAACACCAAAAAAAATACAGCGGTCGGTCGGATCGATTCTACGTTGCACTTCCCTCGTTTTCTGGTAGAATCCGACGCCGTTTCCTTTTTCGTAAACTTTAAAATTAGAAAACTCGAAGTAGAAGATGGGAAGGCAAGGCCAAGGTAATTGGGAGATGACCAGGTGTCCACTCCATAATCCGCACCTCAAGCTATATTTCGCTGGCCATTCCCTTATTTGCATTCTCGAAGCATCAGAATTTAATTGTCTTCCTTGACCCAGAACCATTTATCTTCCTTTAATTATTTACCTCCCCATCTGCTTGTTTTCCCAGGCAAAAAACAAAAGAAAGACAAAAAGAAAACCCATACATTTTCTTTTTGTTCTTTGAATCTATCTGCAACTAGCCCAGGAGGTTGATAATCGAAGAAAAATGGTTCAAGTGAAGGAATTGTATGTGTTTTCCTGGGTTTGTTTCGTTGTTATTTTTCTTTATTTTTTGCTCTAACTGATGAATTTTATTTTATTTGTGGGGACACCTTGAAGCCGAATTGTGATGCCTATGTCCTTGGAAGAGGTAAATTCAAAGTTTTAAATTTTGGGATTGAAATAAGATGTTGAATTCTGGGGTTTTCTTACCTTCCCTTTGTTTTGCAGTATCGAGTGGCTCAAGCGTACATGGTATTGAAGATGCAGCAGCAGAGTACAAATGAGGCTGAAGGCGTTGAAGTCTTGGAGAAAAGACCTTTTGAAGATGATTTATATGGAAAAGGTCAATACACTTCCAAATTATACCGTTTGCAGAGGTAATTCTTTATCACCTTCGCTTTTCCAAGATCATATTAATTAAATGAATCTTTACCATTAGCAAATATATGTTTCTTAATCCCCTGGTGTTCCTATACATTGCTACATTATATTGGTAAATTATCTAAATTCGCTTGCATTATGCATGTATGACTTATGGCCTTTGCTTTGTCTGCTTAACATTCATTGAGATGGAATACTGTAATATTTTGTTGTCTATTTGATTTCTTATTTTTTTTGCACTAATTTATACAGCAAAGCACCTTCTTGGCTTACGACTTTAGCACCTAAAGCTGCTCTCGTCATGGAAGAGGAATCTTGGAATGCATACCCAAGATGTAAAACAGGTTCGCAATGTCGTTGCAATCATCCCCCATACCTATCGTTGCTTGAGTTCATTGTATAAGTTATATTAACATTTATCTTTCTGTTGTTTACAAAATGGATATCATATTTCCCAGTGATCAAGGTAACTCTTCGGTTTCACTTGGACATGTTTTCTGGATGTTAATGTCAAATGTTACTATTTCCTGTCAAAGCATGCTCATATGTCTCAAATTTGTGCAGTGCCCTTACTTTGCCAAGCTTTGTGTCACGATCGAAACAGTCCATCTGGAAAACAATGGCAAATCCGAAAATGTAAGTTTCTTTGAAAGTCATTTTAATTAGATTTTCTGTAAGGTTCTTATCCAACCCAGAATCTAATATTGGCATTAATCATTGGAATGTTTTGGAAGTGTTAATTTGAGGGAAAGTTGCATAGTGTCCTTTCAATTGTATTTTTGCATCTCTTAACTGCGAGGTTTGCAAACAGGTGCATGGTTTAAATCAAGAACAACTGAAAGCTAGACAGGTAGAATCCATCGATATCACTTCACCGACAACAGATTACTGGAGTTATGCGGTTGGAAGTTGTGATTTTGACTTTACCAAATTCAAATCTGAAAAAACCGGCCGCGGTCCACTTTTGGAAGGATGGCAGGTTGGTATTTTATCTTCTGTAAGTCAATCATCTAATAAATACATGCATAGATAGATGAAGCAACTCAATGCATCTTTCTGCACCGGTTTTTTCAATTATTAGCGCTTCATGGAATTTGTGTTCTTCTCCACACCCTCTGTCTCCTTTATCTTCTCCTAAATCCACAGTCACGAACCTTGCATGGTACTCTAAATAGTATTCATGTGACATTTGATATATTTTTGTGTAGAAAAGATATTCAGCCTTGATGCAACAATGGATCTAATTGATGGAATCTTTCGGACCATATCTAATTATCTGTTACATCTTCAACCAAAATTTAGTTTGTCAAAGATCATATGTGATATTGATATTTGCAGGACAAATGTGATCCAGTAATGACAGCGTATAAATTGGTTACAATAAATGCTCCATATTGGGGATTCGGTTGTAAACTTGAGCAGGCTTTGCTAGCGGTAAAATTTCTTAAGACCTCAATCTTTAGATGTACTATTCGTTGATCTTCAAAAAATTAATCAAAGGAAAATCAACTGTTGGAAGTGTTGAGCATCCATAGTCCTTCTCGCTCACTTATACTTAAAGCCGGTAGTAATTTTGTATCATGTATCTCTTATGTAGGGTGAAAGAGCTCTCTTCGTGGAAAGTCACCGGAATTGTTTTCGTTGGATTGATGAATGGTTTGGGATGACAATGGAACAACTAAGTGAACTTGAAGCACAACAAGGTGATTGCTTACTAAATCAGGTTAGACTCCTCTATTTTAAGGAGCTCAGCTTTTTGAAGAACATGGTGATTGCTGTGCATTTCTTCACTGTTAGAAACCTTTCATTTGGGGAAATATTCTGAATCTCATAAGAAAATTTGTTATCTGCATTGTCTGCATGTATCGATTCCTATTTATTGACCGGTATCCTTTGCATTTAAACAGAAAATTGGCAAGCCGATTTTGCTGACAGACACTGAGGATTGCGAGTCAAGCTTTCCCGATAACAGCTAAACTCATTTACAGCAAGTGGTAAAGACATGACTTTGAAGCAGATACCGTGTTCTTTTGTTGAGAGATACATGAAAGGATTAAAGAACAACCATATACAGAAACCCAAAACCGGGGTTCCTACGTTGTAATGACAGTGAACATTGAGCTTCATTGTTTACATTTTTTTTCCAAAGTTTTACATTAGATTTTGTGGAAATATGTGCCATTCATATTTTTTTCTTATTATAAGAAATTATACTAATTTTAATTATTATTTATCATAAACTGTAAAAAAAAAAAGCATTACATTACCCATTTTTTATCATATATAGTTGAAAACGACTGATATATGGATTGTCTAAACACAAACAAGGCATAAAATGGTATTCTAAAACCAAAAAACCATACACAAATCACAAATACATGCACACATAGATAAATTTTTCCTGAATAAAAGGAAAGGCCTCCATTCGTGTTTAAAATGTTCCTAAGATGCTTTCTATAGCTGAATCCTGCTTGGTTGTGCTTTTGTCATCCTTGCCTCGCCATAAGGTTCGTCATTGTCCATCCTCTTATTGTTTCTGAAAGCGGCGCAGGCGACGACGTAGAAGATGACTAAAAGGATGAGCACGACTATGTTGATCACCGACACCTTCCTCCAGCTCTTCTTCAGGTTTCCCAGCACGCCTGCCTTGCAGGAATCGCATTGATAGCACAGCTGCTGTTGGTCGTTGCTCCATCGGGAGCAGTCGGTGTCGGTTCCGATCATCATTCCGCTGGTGTCCCATAGCGTCTCGTTGACATAGACAAAGCTGCAGTCTGAAGGGGGCTTGCAGCAACCAGACTACAGACACAACGTGTTTCGATGGTTAAACTCGGTTTAACTTGAAATTCAGATTCTAAAGTCGGTTCAAGATGGATGTACAGTGGCATTAGATTCAAAGGAAAGTATTATAATTAGCACAAAATCCAACATCGATTAACGCACCAAAAATTAAATGAATGAATGACCCTCAAACTCGATTTAACTTATGGCATCATTTAATCATATATTAACTTCATTTCAGTGTAAGCATTTATTAAGATTTAATGTTTAACACCAGGCCAGATGAGTCACCCTCCAATGAATTTTATATCATTATCAACAATATGAAAAATAATGGTGTTTAATAGAATAGCGATTTGAAAAGGATTTTTTAATTATTTTATATATATTTTTAAATTTTATTGTAAACATTGACAAGTTTAAAGGGTTTAATATTTATTAAAAAATTAATTAAAACTAACTTATATATATATATGATCATCAAACACAGCTTATTAATTTTTTCTAGTACTCAGCCGATGAACCTCAATATAGTCTTTAAATTTATCAAAGTTTACTAATATTTTATAATATAAAATATCATTTTATAACAATTTGATAAGATTAATAATACTTTTTAATTTAAAAAAATTCGATGATAAAAAATCATTTAAACAATTGCCCATAACAAATACTAAAACTAATATTAATCAAAATTAAAATGACTTCCTTACTAATATATATCATAAACAATTTATTGAAAAAAACTTACTAAAATTAAAAAATAAAAATAGTTTTTTATCCGATATTCGAATAATGGGATCTTAGTGCAAGAAAATGTTGCATACCTGGATAGGGCTGAGCTTCCTCATGGAAAACATGTCAAAAGTTTCAGAAACGCCATTAAAACTCCTTCCCATCTTGCCACAAACTTTAGAGTCCCTAATACAAGAACTAATCTTAGCCCAGTACTGTTCATCCACCACTCGGTCTTTAAGCCACCCCGAGTAATCCCCCAAGTAATACTCCAAGTAGCCTTTGTTCACCACCGGCCGACCCGACCCTTTTTCAGTCACGGCGTACGCAAAGATTACGAACCCGAAGAGCGCCGCGATGATGAACAACATGACGAAGAGGTAAAGCCGCAACAAGAAGGTGTTCCTATAACAAGCTCCGGCGAAACCCGCCAAGGAAACCGCCATGATCGACGCTCCGATAACTACCAACGGCCACTGCAAGAACTTCAGACAGTCGGTGTTGTTGGCTCTGCTGCTCAGCCATATTCCGCCACCCAAGATTACTATTGATAACAAAAACGTTAAGAAGTTTAGTAACCCTATCAAGTGATTGCTGGCTCTCATTTTACTATTTTTCTTTCTTTCCGATTTGATCTCTTTGGAAGTGTAATCTGCTTCTTTTACAGGATTTTGTTTTTGGGTCTTCTTTTCTACTGAGAGAGGAAGCTGCTTTGAAGTTAATGAAATGGAATGGATTTGTTCGATGCAGGGCGTTTCTTATTTTATTTTATATATGCTTGATGGTTATATTAAGGAAAGTACTCGCTTTGGGTTTTCGACACGTGGATGTTTTGAAATGACAAGAAGACCCTTATACTTTAGTATATTACTAAAAAAACTATTTTAATTTTTTAAATATATAAAACGATATACTCGTTAGTCAAAGAAAGCATCATCAACGACAAAATGAATGAGTAAATGATATGGTGAAATTTTTTTTAATATAATCCAACCCAGGGATTATTTCTCAATCTATGGTGAATTACATAGTACTAACTGAAAAAGATGTCAAGTGTTTCACGCGTCTTCAAGTTAAATATGAAGACTCCACGATTGTATGGTGTCTTTAGGCAAATGGAGAAGACTCCACGACTGCATGACGTCTTCAGACAAATGAAAAAGATTCGAAGAGTGTACGACATCTTCATACCAATAAAAATTCTAATTCAAAAAATAATTCAATGGATACTTTTATGGGAAAATTATTTTTCCCACAACCGTATATGGAGAGGAAGCCCATCATCAACGATGTTTTTGTCATAGTCAAAGGGAGCAGAACAACGTTATTGATGGATTGACAATTTTTGGGAGAGATAAAGCAGTCGGTTTTATGTTTTTCTCAGAACCACCGACGAAAATTGATATGTTACTTCAAAAGGAACGTTTGATTCCTAATTAGTTCTTTTTGCTATGTTGTTGTAATAAAAAACAACGTTTTATCTTATACATATTGAACAAACACATTTATAATTATTATAAGTAAAATATGACGGTGAATAATCAGTGAAAGTCCGATAAGTAAAAAAGCTAAATCAATGCAATTTTCAGTTAAATTATTAAACTATTACATAAGATGATTTAGTTAAAAATCAAATAACTATAAATTATAGTAATGTTTTTCGTTACACACTAAATATGATAACATATATAATTATTGTTTAATAAAATTTAAGGTATTTTTCATTAAAAAATATTATATTTATATTTAAGAGGATAAAAGAATTTTGGTAAGAAAAATTAAGATTTTTTTTTGGGATAATCAATCTATTCATCCAAAGAGAGCAGCAAGCTGCTACAAGTTACAAATACAACCAGTTACATGAGTTCCCAATCAATGCACAATTGCCTATTTACATTATCCACTCTATTTATATCACACATATACAATTTTGTTCTAACAACTCCCTTTATAATATCTATAATTGTATCAGGCGAACGCGACAATCCCCTAAAAATACGATGGTTGCGTTCTTCCCATTTAAAATAAACGAATCCAGTCCATGTTAGTTTTAGAATGTGGACTAACAGGGACTTGCCTTTCCAATTGCAAGACATCCAGCCAAGCATGTCCTCCCAGCTAAAACTCTGCTGCTGTAGCCTACAAGCACGCAAAATAGAGTCCTAGATTGCTTTCGACTAAGAGCATTCCAAGAACAAGTTATTTCTTGATTCCAGTCCAGTTCCACAAAGTCTGCAACCAAGGCCTGTCACCACACCAAACCTAGCCAATCTATCCTTTGTAGAAAGCCTATCAAGGATTGCCATCCAAGTGATCAGAGAGTGTTTAGGGACATGAGCAGGAAACCAGACTAGGCGATGCCAGATCACCTTTTCCTTCTTTTCTCGGATTTTGTCCCATATCCAACCACCTTTAACCTGTGCCCAGTTAACAAAAACAAGAAACAGAACTCTGGCCTCCACGCGAAGCTTGATCAACTTCCTAAGTATCCGGCTGAAATGAGATTTATTCCCAACACTCCAATAATCCTCATGCTTGAAACAATAGGCTTTGATCCATGCTATCCACAAGGAACCCTCATCAGTAAGAATATTCTTAACAAGTAAGAAACATCAGGTCTTATTCCAATCAACTAACCTTCTAAGCCCTAAACCCCCCTCAGATCTAAGGGAGCATACTTGATTCCAACTAACCCTGGCTCCTCTAGATGATGTGTCATTACCTTTCCAAAAGAACTGCATACAAAGTCTTTCAATATCTTGTATCACACCTTTTGGCAAAACAAGTTGCTTGCTCCAGTAGCTGAAGATGCTAAATAGAACTGTTTTAATGAGTTGCAGCCTCCCACCAAAACTTAGCTTCTTACTTGACCACTGTCTCTGCTTATCCCTAATCCTCACCAAAAGGGCAGAACAATCCTTTCCCGAGAGCTTACGGGTCACAAGGGGCACCCCCAAGTATCTAACAGGGAGCTGGCCTATTCAAAATCCAATTACTCTTTGAATCTGTTCTAAGACATCATCATTCATCCCACAAGCATAAATCTCAGTCTTAGAATAATTTAACTTTAGTCCAGACATCTCATAAAATTTGTCAAGGACACTTACAACTCCCAACAGTGAGTTTATAGAGCTAGAACAAAAAAGTAATAAGTTATAGGCAAAGCATAGGTGTGTAAGAGATATTCTTTTTCACCTAGGATGGTATTTGAAGACACCATTATTAACTACAACATCAAGCAAGCATGAGAGCACATTCATGACCATGACAAATAGGTAAGGAGACAAAGGGTCTCCTTGCCTAACACCCCTTGCACCTCTTAAATAACCCATTAGGCTACCATTCAAAGCTATTGAGTAGCTAGGAGATGCAACACAAGCTTTGATCTAATCACAAAACCTAGCAGGAAGTCCCATAGCTCCAAGAACATTAAGAATGAAGTCCCAATTAATTGAGTCAAAAGCTTTCTGCAAGTCAATCTTAATTGCACATCTAGGGGAAAGATTCTTCATAGAATATCCTTTAACAATCTCTTGAGCTAAAAGGGTATTATCAGTAATGCTTCTACCCTTGACAAAAGCTGATTGACTAGCTGAGATCATGCCAGGGAAAAATTGGGCCAATCTAGTGACCAAGATCCTAGTGATACAAACATTCAAAGATTTTGGCACTAGGACAATTGTAGTTGCATTAAAAGCTGATAATAATCAAGAAGTATTAAAAACATACCTCACAACACTTATGAAGTCCCTGCTAACAATCCCCCAAGCAGTCCTGAAGGACCAAGATGCATGTCCATCAGGCCCTGGACTTTTGTCTTTCCCCTGTCTGAACAAGGTTTCTTTAATTTCCATATCTGAAATGTCCTTAATCAGGACCCTATATGTAACACCCTTAACTCATATCCAACCCGAATACAAGTCTGAGATGTCACATTGACTTTTCAAACTTTGACTCTTATGGAAAATCCCGGGAATTTTTAAAACTTTCATTAAAACAAAATACATTAATTTACATAAGACCATAAAATACAAAATTGATCAGAGTATTCATAATTAACACTTATTACATGCCAACATTCTATACATAACCAAGTACATACTTTGTCAATTACTTCTGATCTGATCTCTTAGTAGTATTGCTGTCCGTGCTACTTCTATTTTCACTTTTCCTGATTCTTGGTACCTACGTGTAAATCACTTACACGCTAAGTCATAGACTTAATGAGGCAATAAATGAATATGCAACAATAAACTTATGAATGTTCATACTTACCATTTGATCATAACATTTCAATATGTATGTATCTTATCGCACGATAACATATAATGCACATACGAAACTTACCTTCTTGTATCACTTTCACTGTAAATCTGCATTTCAATTGTATAGCCCATGTATATTATTGAGAATAGAGGTATGTGAGTACATTGAGGTTGTGCACTAATACTGTCACCACAGCTCGTATCAATTCCCTCATAGGGCACCGAACCTTAGTTCAGTATTCGTCTCGTAGGACTATTATCTATGTCCCATAGGACCCCTACATCCCGAAGGACTACATCCCGAAGGACTATTATACCCTACACTCTTGGCATGCCAATTACACCTATAGTTCTCATATCGTATACTATGGGCATTATTGTTATATTTCATATGTTCATGTACTCATATCATTTCTCTTGTGATCATGTATCTCATATCACTTCATATCATGTTCTCATATCACATGTCATATCACATATCATATCACATGAACATATATATTTCTTATGCATGTATCACAATAATTATCATGTATGCATGTTCACCACTACTATATTATAAAAATCAACTTAGGGATTAGACTTATCACAAGTCTTATCCCATTATAATATACATATAGTATGCACTCACCTTAATTTTGCTTTGATTCGATTCTAATCCTTTGATCGTTCCAGAATAAGCTTACTTTTAGTATCTACATAATCACACATGGATTTATATCAGTATTATAACTAATATACTCTAATGTTTCACTCTTTAGACTAAGAGAAAAGTTAATTTCATCTTTTAATGAAGGTATGCATCGATGCACTACTGATGCATCGGTGCATAAAAGGTATTCGATGTATTATTATTGATGGGATGCATCGATGCACTCCTTATGCATCGATGCACCAATTGTATTCGATGTTTCATTATTAAATGGGATGCATCGATGCACTACTTATGCATCGATGCATGAATTGCATTCGATGTTTTTATTTTAAAAGAGTGCATTGATGCACTACCAATGCATCGATACACCTTCAAACAATTTCTGGGTTTTAACCTTGATGCATCGATGCACTATGAATGTGCATCGATGCACTCTGCCCGAAATCCTCTTTTTGAACCCGAAAATTCATTCATTTTGGATTAATCCTTCATGTTTAATCCTCTTTTCTTCTTAACTCTAGTACACATCCTTAAACCAATTTATACTCATTTATTTCATCTTAAACCTTCAAATCATATCCTTCATATGTAATTCAAGAATTACATTAATAAATCAACATGTTTGAATTCCGCTTTTAACACTTCGTATATCTTAACTAGATGATGAAGTCAATATAACTTTCAATTCTAGTTATGAACTCTATTCCAAGATTTCATTTAAGAACTTCAAACCTTAAATCTCTCCTAACTCAATCATCCTTTGATGTTAAGATAACTTAAGCTTTCCTTAAGCTTAGTTATCATCTAATAATCAAAACTCAATATTAAATTTAACAAGAAACTCAATAATCAGAAATCTTACCTTTACTTTGGTTCACACGCACAAGGAAGAAAGAAGAAGAAGAAGAGAACTCTGGAAGCCTTTGATGTTCTCTCCTTTTCAACCCACTTGTACTCATATATATCCTTATCCATTCTTTAATTAATTTTCCTTGCAAATGACTCTTTGGCCCTTCCATTCCTTCTTCCTTTCAATTAAATTCTACACAATCATTTACATATAAATCTTTATACTATTCATTTCTTCTTTTTTTTAATCACCAAAATCTGAAACTTTCCAATTTAGTCACTAACCCGGTATTGAGGATGTTACATTATAAGCTCTAGCAGGCAAGGAATGATTCAGAAGGTCCCTTAACCACTCAGGTTGGCAGCCTTTAACTGAGGGGCTCTAAATGTGTTGATGATATTCCTTCAAAGGTTTCAAGATACTGCCCAGCATCATTCTTGATAACCCTTATAGTATTTGTCTTCTTGTGAGCCTGAACTTTTTGATGAAAAAACTTGGTATTTTATCCCCATCCTGCAGCCAATGTATCTTTGCTTTCTGTTTATAAAAATCCAGCTCAGTAGTTTCCAGGCTAACCAAATCTACCTGGATTCTTCTTTCCTCTTCAATTCCAGATTGACTAGAACTAGCCAGGTTGGATAATTGGATATGCTCAAGCTCAGCCCTCCTAGCAACAACCCTGGCAGAAATATCAGAGTAATACTTCTTGTTCAGCTCATTTAGGACATGTTTTAATCTCTTCAGTTTAGTGAACAACACCTGTATTGGGTTACCCCCACAACTATCCAACCAAGAACCCTCCACACTACTCAAATATTCCTCATTTGCAGTCCAGCAATTGAAGAACTTGAAGGGCTTTGGCTTGTGAGCCTGAATACCCTTCTGTGTCCAAATGATTCTAGGGCAGTGATCTGACACACCAGGAGCCTTAAATTCTGCATAGGAGTCTGAAAAATCCAGCAGCCACCGAGTATTAATCATGATCCTGTCCAGTTTCCTAGCCAGATAGGATCCCTCCTGCTTGTTTGACCAAGTGAAAAAGGGACCCACATAAGGATGGTCCTGCACCTCCAAGTCATCAATGCATTCTTGAAATTCCTCTATGTCGAGTGAAACATGTGAGCCCAAAGTGGAAAAATCAAAGCTCTCTTGGGCATTGGCAAATGGCATTGAAGTCACCACCAATCACCCAAGGACATGAACCAATCTCCCTCTCCAGAGACCTCAAATGCTCCCATAAATTCCTCCTCTGCTGACAACTGTTACTGCCATAAACTGTTGTTATAACAACTTTGTGGCCAGCCACATCCCCTATGATCGAGAGGGCTTGGTCACACCCCCTCAATACTGAAAAAACCAGACTTTTCCTCCACAAAACCCAGATTCTGCCACCATCAATGTATTCATAATTTGCAGCATTATGCCACTCCTCATAAGTAACAGTAAACATCTTAGACTTATTTATTCTTCTGACTCTAGTTTCCATAAAACAGGCTACATCAACACCAAGATTCTCTAATCTCTTCATTGCTCTTCCTTGCTTAAGGGCATTATTAACACCCCTTACATTCCAAAAATTAAGATTTATTTATCACTGACAAATGAAAT